CGATGGACGCGGACACGAAGTGGCAAAAGTTGCAAAGTCCCGAACACAATGCCGAAGCAAAGTCGCACTGAACACAAGCACTGAGGCTGAAAACTTGGTGTCCATACTGGGCTTGAGTCCGTATATAAGTACCTGACTCAAGTACGGTCCTGCGGGCGAAAGTGAAAATGCCTCAGGGCCAGAACTGAAAATTGAAAGTCTGAGAGTCGGCACCAGAATGTCGGATGGCGCCAAGTGTCCGAAATCCGAAAGTCTCAAAAGAAGGAATTTGAAAACGGGCGCCAGAATGCGGATGGCGCCAACTGTCCGAAATCAGAAAAGCGAGAATCAGAAACAAGTACAGCAAGCTGGCGGTTGGTAACACGCAGACCAGGTATCGAGCCGTGCGGAGTCTGTAACACTATCCCCTCCCTGTGGAAGGCAACGTCCTGGCTGCCAAAAGTCATGAAAATAATGCTGAATCCTGTGAAGGACGGGACGGGGGCGATCACTGGAAAGGAGGAAGAAAAAGGGAGAGGGGTATAATGTGGGTAGCAAGGGCTGGGGGAAACAGGGTTTTCCTACTTATGAGCTATGGGGTATGCGTACGAGAAGGAACAGAGTTTGCCAACTAATGAACTCAGGGTTTAGGAACTGCAGGGTAACAGGGTTGTCCTACTGACGGACAACAGGGTTATGGTCAGAGGAGGGAACAGGGTTGTCGTACTGATGAACTATTGGGCGAAAAGGTTCTGTGAGCAAAAATAAAGGAAGGAAACTTATTTTGCAGTGTTCGGGGGCTGGGGTTTCTGAGGGTCTCGAAGTGAATGGGGTTGGGGGGGAAATCGCAGGTTCTGCAAAATGGTCTGGCTGAGAGCCTTGAAGCAGGTCTTGAAGTAAGTCCAGGTATGGATAGACAGAATGCTGATGATAAACCAGTCTTCAGCAGGCTTGCGACGTGTAGTAGCAAGGGTTCCAGCTTGAAATAAGTAGTGTAGCAGTCCAATAGAAGAAGGTGCCAGGGTGCGTCTTGTACACGATCCTGATGATGAACTTTGATCCGGATAGCAGGTCGCAGATTGATCCCGATGTCCATGTCAAGTGTGCTGCTCCAGAAGTCTGCGAGTCCAGGTGCTGGCCAATGGGACAGCATGGTGGCCAACCAGCTGTTTAATCTCCTCGAACTGTGCTGCAGCAGGCCATCGTCCTCGTGCGCTTGCCATTAGATCATTTATCGCCGGTGATGCGCAGGAGCCACAGGTGAGGCTTGGACAGGAAAGACAAAGGATGTGGCAGAGGACAGATTGGGGAACGAGATGGAGGCAAGAGCAGATCAGACAGAGAGAGGTCGAGGGGCAGGGGGTTTGATGGGTGCAGGGTGTGTGTGTAGAGCAATGAGGCAGGGTTTATGCAGGGTATATGGGTGTTATGCGTAGTATATAGCTAGGATACATGCTGTGCACGATCATAGGCACGGACAAGTTTCATGGCGTTCTTGAGGTTGTCGAGGCGGTGATGATCTCGTTCGGCGGGGTAGAGGACGTCGCCGGAAGGGGGGCAGGCGGAGTAGACTGTGACGCCTGGGGGTCGACCAGTGGAATTTTGTGCACTCCATGATCAAGGATACATAGTTCACGTTGAGGAGAGTCCGGGTCCCGCGGTGGCCGAAGGAGTGGATGTCGCAGGTTTGTTCACGTGACGAGTGAACTGCTCGGCGTTGGGGCAGTTTGTTTGCTGGTGTCCAAGCTGTCGGCAACGAAAGCAGCCATTGTTGGCTTGCAGGTAGGCGTGTTCCTCGGTTGTGAGTTTCTTGAGACGGGGGGGTTGGGTGGAAGAAGATGGTCGAGCCATGTGGTCTTTGCGTTCCATACGCCAGAACGCGATGGTGTTGAGTTCCTCGGAGCTGAGGGACACCGGGGCGGAGGAGTCGGAAAGGGTGTCGAACTCAAGGATAGGGGCTGTGAACTCCTTGTCGGAGGGAGACGCTACGGTGGTCTCATTGTGGAAGAAGCCTGGACGAGAGGTGGCGGGACTGCGAACGGGGCAGAAAAGGCGATCGTGTTGAAGGGCACGGGTGAGGAGGCCGGTAAAGGGCATGGGTGGCTTGTAGGCGAGGTCGGAGGCGATGTCCTTATGACAGATGGAGTAGACTGTGACGCTTGGGGGTCGGCCAGTGGAATTATGTGCACTCCATGATCAAGGGTACAAAGTTCATGTTGAGGAGAGGCCGGGTCCCGCAGTGGCTGAAGAACTGGATGTCGCAGGTTTGTTCACGTGGTGAGTGAACTGCTCGGCGTTGGGGCAGTTTGTTTGCTGGTGTCCAAGCTGTCGGCAACGAAAGCAGCCATTGTTGGCTTGCAGGTTGGCGCGTTCCTCGGCTGCGAGTTACTTGAGACGGGGTGGGTGGGTGGAGGAAGATGGTCGAGCCATGCGGTCCTTGTGTTCCGTATGCCAGAACGGGATGGTGTTGAGTTCCTCGGAGCTGAGGGACGCCGGGGTGGAGTCGGAAAGGGTGTCGGGCTCAAGGATAGGGGCTGTGAACTCCTCGTCAGAGGGAGACGCTACGGCAGTCTCATTGTGGAAGAAGCCTGGATGGGAGGTGGTGGGACCGCGAACGGGCCAGAAAAGGCGATCGTGTTGAAGGGCACGGGTGAGGAGGCCGGCATGGGTGGCTCGTAGGCGAGGGCGGAGGCGATGCAATTACGGCAGACCTGCTTGAAGCACGTTGTCGCTGATCTGGTAGTGGGGAATGTTTTGGCGGAGGTTGCGGACATATTGCACAAAGTGGTCAGTTTGGCCGTTTTGGCGAAGCCGGCAAAACTGGTCGACGTAGTTGTCGATTGTCTTTTGTGGGCAGAAGGTGGCGGAGAGGAGGGAGGCCCACTCGAGGAAGGAGAGGGGAGGTAGACCGGCGGAGTGTCGGTTGGCGGATTCGGTGATCCACCATCGATGGGCGGTGTCGACGAGTTTGTTGACGGCGATGGAAAGCCAGTGGATAAGGGGTACGTTGTGGAGTTCGAAAGCTTGTTCAGAGGGGCTCAGCGTCACGGTGCCCCTCTCTCCCTCTCTCTCTCTCTCTCTCTCTCTCTCTTCACATCACCCCCATGTCTGCAGTCCCTCGCCAAGTTACAACAAGCTTTACGCATGTACATCCGTTCCGATCAGATTGACTGGGATGAACATCTGCCTAAAGTTGCCAGTGCCTACAATAACTCTGTACATTTATCTACATGTAAGACTCCTATGGAGTTACATCTGGGATGGCGTCCACGCAGACCCATTGATTGATTGAACCCGGATCAAGTACATAAGCTTCCTATAGGGACTAGTGAGTTTGCAGTCCAATATCAGAAAGACATTGAGAAGGTAAAGGAGAATATACTCGAAGCACAGCATCAGATGATTGAACAGGCAAATAAGCATAGACGCCCGTCTCAATTTGCCGCAGGTGATTTGGTTTGGGTGAAATCTAAAGAGTTTGCTCCTGAAGAAAACATCTCTCAAAAGCTTTTACCCGCCTACAGAGGACCTTGGCAGGTTCTAGATGTAGTTGGAGATGTAGATGGTCCTTCATATGTCATTGAGGTTCCTTTACATTTGCGTACTTATCCAGTGTTCCACGCTTCAAAGCTCTTGCCTTGCGTGACGAATGAGTTGCTTCCAAGCCTTAGGTCAGCGATACCTGCAAGTATGGGTGGAAGGTATGATGTGGAAAAGATTATTGCAGAAAGTACTTTTCACACTGGCCGTAGAGGCAGACCACAACGACAATATAAGGTGAGGTTTGCCTACCAGGATCCTAGCGAGGATCGCTGGTTCACCAGGGAAGACTTGTTAGAGTCTGCACCTCATATTGTGTCTGATGAAAAGGAAAGAAAAGGAATCTCTATCATTGATGAGTAAATGATTCTCAGAGGACTTCGAAATTAGCCCGGCGAGAGTAAAAGGGCCTTTACCCGATATAGGCCTCAGGCCTTGTAAAAGTAAAGCAGCACGGGCCTTGTAAAAGTAAAGCATTATGAAAAGGTATCTCGCCAGGGCTCAGAAACGTGAAAGCAGGTCAAAGGTCAAGTTCTCTATCCACAGGCACATCTAAATCTAAGGCAAAGGGCATTGTCAAAAGACTTACCTGTTCACCAGGAGATGTGTATGTCATGTCTGTTCGGGTAAGAGTGTGTCTGTACGTGCAAAGGAAAGTGTCTGTTCAAGCAGTAAATGTGTCTGTTCGTTTAGAGTTGTGCCTGTCCGAAAGTAAAGTCAATAGGCACAGTCCCAGTTCTGGCCTAAGTCAAGGAGTCAGTCCAGATCCAGACTTTCAAGTCCAGATCCAGACTTTCAAGTCCAAATCCAGGCCAAGAGGCCTCAGCAGCAGTTGAACTTCATTGGGACTATACTGGGACACATGCAATGCAGGGTCTGGGACAAAGGAAAGGCCGAATTGAGCCAATGCAGACCCAGCGAGGAGTGGCCAGGACTATAAAGGGAGCTGCCTGCCTCATTCCTCGCCAGATCTCCACTGGCTGCAATGCGTGGAAGTGCTGGTGCACTTGTGTGCTGAGTCAGGAGGAGCAGCGCTGGAGATAGAAGATGCGCTGAATGGAGGAAGAAGCCTGTACGCTGGAAGTGATGCAGCCATAGCTGCCCAGCGAGTTAGCATTAGTAGTAGAGGGTTAGTATGTAGCTATGAGTGGTATCCAGAGTAGATCCTCATGAGTGAAGAGTGTGTATGCGTCGTAGGAGGAAGGGACTGAGGCTGAGAGTGTTCATTCAAGGTTGGCTATGGAAGATACTTACCTGAGTTGGATGTGACCACATTGATGACTTGGAGACTATCTGCAGGAGTAGCGCTGATTCACTGGAAGTCATATTGACGAGTTGACAAGAGATTGGTGTTGCGCTGATGAGCGCTGGACTCAGGGGAACTTTGAAACACCTTGTATTCATATTTCTGATAATATAAGCTGTGAAACTCGGTCCTCTTCTCATCTACCTTTGTCCATGACTTGAGACTATTGATCGTGGTGTGTGAGAATGATGCATGACATGTACACACTTGCGTGAAAGGGTCCCCAGGACCCATGCAGGATTAATTCCGAATATTAATTTCGTTTTTAATTTTAGATCAATGGAAAATACCTGATTCGAGTCAAAGCCTGTGAGAGCGGTGGAGACCGTGGAGACATGAACACTTTCTTTGTATAATAAAAATATTTTACGTATCAGTCTCTCGTGCGAACTCCTGTGTTTCGGCTATTGGTTCCAACCATACTTGCGGCGCAGCCCGTGGGCGGGGTCGCGGCACATGCGGTACACAGCGCACGCACATCCACGTGCACGCACGTGATGCGGCACATCACCCAAAAAAATGAAAAAAAAAAAAAAATGAAAGGACAGGGTGGGGTTGCCAAACATGCCCCTCTCTTCTGAAAATCAAACTGCGAGAGGGAAAACAGTTGTGGCCACACCATACCCCAACACCGTGAGCACGTGTGTGCATGTGGGCGTGCATGTCCTAATTGTGTCCAGTCTCATTTCCGAAGGGCCCCTACAAATTAGCAAGGATCCCTCGTGGAGCAGGGATAGACATTAGACTTCCACTTTGTCTGCGTGGGCCGAGAATATATAGTCTGGATTCGAATTCAGGTCTGTGCATCATAGTTATGGGTCACTGTTTCTCTGTTGTCTCGTTTTTTTTTTTGTTTTCTCGTTTTTCTTTTCTTAGGAATACATGCAGTGGCCCTAAGGGCCTCTACTCACCACATGCATAAAAGACAAAACATATGGCGGCATATTATTCTACGTTCTAGCAGATTCATTCTAATTCTGCACAGTGGCCCTAAGGGCCTCTACTCACCACATGCACAAAAGTCAAAACATATGGCGGCGTATTATTCCATGTTCTAGCAGAAGATTCATTCTAAGGGCCTCGCTGCACTATGCTAGACACATGAAAAAATTGAAGAGTACGTGCAGTGCAGTTAGGCTCCTGGATTGGCATCAAGTGCTGTCTGCTGCACTTACTCCAGACTCTCGACTCTCGTGAGCATTCTTGATTGTCGGACAGAAGTTTGAGAAAACTGAATAGACACTACACGACAGGGCAGCGACGATTTGTCCACCGAGACTGGAGGCCAACTCTCGAATTTGCAAACCGCATGAAGGGTCCGGTCGGTCTCGTTCATAAAGAACGCCCCTGCAGGCGGGAACTGTGGACGCTTCAAGAGCTCGTCCAATGGGCCGTTTCTGACACCTCTTGAAGGGCTGGACCAAGAGCACTTTTCCACAGCTAGTGCAGCGATGATTCACTCTCGACGTTTTCGAGAGTGAATCTGACAGCTCTTGAATGGAAATTCAGGATGCGGCATCAAGAGTTAAGATTCAAGAGTAGTGCGGTGAGGCCCTAATTCTGCACATTTGGTGAGTACTGCAGCCAAGCCCTGAGAATCACGTGCAGAGACCAACAGGGCCTAGCTAAGTGAGCAACCCATAACTGCTGAAACACTGACCTAAATATGAATCCTGAGTATATACCATATATTCAGCCAGCTCGTGCTCCACTTCGTGTGAAGGGGATCGTTCTCTCTCTCTCTCTCTCTCTCTCTCTCTCTCTCTCTCTCTCTCTCTCTCTCTCTCTCTCTCTCTCTCTCTCTCT